GATAACTAAAATTGTAATTTATATATAATTTTAATATATATAAAAAAATCTGGTAATTTAATGTAGTTTAGTGTATACTGATAGTGTCTTTATTAATTATAAATGCTAATTTGTTATACATGTTTAATGTACAAATATAAATTCTAATCATGAAACCATTTTGTCACGTGATATATATATGCACCAATAAAATTACGAGATTTCTTTATCACGTGATAAATGATCGACATCTCAAATTTGGCTGCTTAAAAAATTTTTGGTTGGGACTAAGTTGTATGCACTGTATCAATATCAATTTCAATTTCAATTTCAATTTCAATATCAATATCAATATTGATAGGAACAACGGTTGTTTATATATGATTTTTTTTTTAAAAAAAAAATTGGGACTGAATGATTACGATTACTAATTTAAAATAAATGAAAGAATTCGTCGAAAACATATAATGCGGTAACGAAAATCCTGTTTTCATCTGATAATTTCAGCCAAAGGATGATCTGATCTCGATCAACCTAAACTGCCTAAATCAAATAAATAAGATGAAATAAATAAAATTAGTAATCAAATCAAATTAATTACCAAAATAAGAAAAGAAAAAAAAATAAATTATTTAACTTACCTTCCGGTTCTTAGCCTAAGAGAAGGACCTAAATAAATAATAAAAATGTTAAGAAAAATATTATTAATTAAAAAAAAAAATATTTATTAATACACTTAGAAAAAAAAAATCGTCGACTTACCTTCGCCGCGGTGACGAGCCAGTCGGAAGGTTCCGTCCCAATTTTAGCCTAAGAAGATGGCACCGATCTAACCTATATAAGAATAAAAAAATTTTAAAAAATAATTATTTAATTGAAACAAGAATATATTTGGAGAACCACAATGGCAAATAAATACCTTTGTAAATTTTGTCTTTTACCCATTAATATGATTTATTATGACCTTTATACTACAAATATAATTTGCTGTGAAGAAGTATGGTATAATTAAACATAAAGTATGATAAATATAAAAGGTTACCAAAGAAATTTGAGGAACCTATCATACCCGACGAGGCATTTTAACTTGAATCCAAATTATTATAAATTATATTGGTTAAAAGATATCGAAAATTTTAAGGCACAGTATTACTCTTTAAAGAAGAAGAAGAGAAAGGGATGGTTACAAGGGAAGTCAAATTGTATTTAAAAACATTGACAAGTACATTAAACAGGATGAGTTATGTTTAAGAAATTCTCATTGTCATTGAGTTCGAAAACATCCCTTACAATGATAAACATAAACGAAATGATCATATTAGGAAATAATGACTTATAATTAGATGCCCCCTATTTTCTTCATCCTCCAAGGAACTTCTAATCCAATTAATATCATGGGTGGGAAACATGTCAATGGTACTAAAAGACGTTGTGGTTGAAGTTTCACTAGAAATCGTGCTATCGGTATCATCATCATCATCATCGTTCCGACTGTTGAGTACTTTATAGTTATTTTTTAACTTTGTAGAAAATATCCTGTACCGCTTGTAGATTATTAATGGTTCAAATGAAGGTGAATATAACGATTGTGCGTAGGTTTTGGTGAGTTTAAAAGGTACTTCTTCGGATAATTTTGCGCAGGCTAATTTGTAACAACAAATCGAACTTTGATAACGTAATGGAACGATCCTGTTGTGTTTTGGTTCGGGTTAAAATCGGCATTTCAAAATGGAGCAAAAGAAAGAAAATTAAAAAATAAATAAATAAAAATTAATGGATTGGGACTTTGTCCTCAAAAAGGTAAAAATCGAATAATTTTTCCTCTTTTAAATTTAAAAATCTTATTCGCGAGTTTGACGCGAAATAAAAATAATTAAGGGTTAAAAGTTAAAACATCATTTACAAAAGTAGGAAATTTATCATCGTTCTTATATATAAATGTTTTGCATGTAAAATAAAAAAAAACAAAATAAAAACAATGGTTCGCCTATGCAAATGGGGAATCTTTTTGCATAAAATTAATTAATTCTCATGTATTAATAATTCTTTGGTTTACCGAAGCAAAACTAAGTTACGTTCAACTTTGCCATTTTTAAAGTTTTTGCCCTATCTTTTGATTTTATTTCCTCAAGAAAAATTATCGAAAAATTTACTTTTTTTTTCTGTCAGAAAAAACGATTTTATTTTTTATTTATGGGAAGGGACGTATTCATGTTTCACAATTAAATTATCAAAATATATTTTGGCCAATATTGGCAATATTATAATTAGTAAACTAGGGTTGCGCTATGTCGTTATGCCACCAGGGTGTATATAGTAATGTATTATGTATATATTTTTTTTTATTAATTTATGCAAAGTTTTTCTTATTTATTTTATTTTATTATTTATTTTACTTTTTTTTATTTTATTATAAATAATCAATTCGTTTGTTACATTAATTTTAAATCACAATTTTTTTTTTATTATGATATAAACCATTCAATACGTCAACACGAACATATAATCACTTAATTCTATGGTGATTAACTCGTTTCGGATGCATTTTGTAATTTATAATCATTTTAATTAAACTTATTTATTTGTTTGTTTATTTTTTTTTTTAGTTTTTTTTGTTATTAATATTTTTTTGTTTTTTTTCTATTACTCGTTTTTACGTTATTTTTTTACGTTACAAATATCTAACTAATAAAATAAAGAAACTTTTTTTTTATTTATTATGTAATTTTTTATTTATTTATTTAATTCTTAATTAAAAAAAAAAAAAAAACAAATCTTTTTTTCACCTTTTTTATTTCTTTTTTCTATCGTTATTAATTATGATTTATTTTATAAATTACATTTTATCGTAATAAATTATATAATTTATAATTATTTTTTTTCGTTGGCCTTTAGAAATCTTGTGATCGACTCAAAAACGTGTTTCTTCGTTCAATTCCATACATATAACAAAGACAAACAGCGAATTGTGCCTTAGAAATTCCATTCACTACTGATTTTAAAAACCGTTCGAACGCCTTTTTCTTATCTTCAGCAACTCCACCTATACTATTTTGATAATAATGACCAACTTTATATTAACTATTTCTATTTCCACCTTCAGCAAATTTAAATACCATTCAAATGCTTCATTCCAATTTATCTCAAATACCAATTCCTTCTACATAAAATGCTCAACCTTACATTGTCCTGAAGCATTTCCTCGTTCTGCGGATTTCATGTACCATTCAAATGCCTTAATTTTATCTTTAACCATGCCTATTCCTTCATCATAGCATAAACTGAGATTACTGTATATTGACCGGTAAATCTCCTCGACGACAAAGTGAACAAAAAATAAAATAAAATAAACCTTAGCCGCATGACGATCCGTTCGAAATTCTGTGGAAAAAGGAACTGATCTTACCTAAAAGCTAAGGGAAAAGGCCGGCCCTAGGCCGGCCATAACCATGAGTCTAGTTTAATTATTTTCACGAATGATATGCACTTCTCAAAGTTACGACTAAAATAGTTTTTTCCATTTTTCTCAAAATAACAAAATCATGGATTTCCCCCTTTTTAACTGACGCAAGCCCAAATATTACAGAATTAACATCACCATCCACATTATTTACGGGTGATTCTAAATTCAAGATTTTGATCGAACCGAAGATAATCAGCTAAAACTTTCGTTACCTCATTTCTTTCAACATATAATTGGTTAAATGGTGTATTTTTACAAGAAGATACATGGAATTTTTGGGGGTAAAGTTTATTACCTACTTTGGTAGTTTTTTTTAGTAACCATTTTACAAAACATGTTTATTGCTTTTATGGGGTATGTTTCATTTTTATTTTCTTCAAGTTTTATTTTCGAATATAATTAGTAAATTAATTAAATTTTCCTTAGGGGTGTGTATTTTAATGCATTTGAGAAAGGTCGTGTTGCTTTACGACGATTTCGTGCAGATTCAATTTCTGATTATGAGGCATTAAATGAGATATATTTTTATCCTTCGACACCAGAGCCAGAATATATTTATTATATTGGTAAATCAAAAAGTCATGAAAACTGGGATGTGAATGTTAAAAAACGTGAGAATAAAACTTATATGATGATTATGAAAGCGAACAAAAGAATGAAAACGATACTAGTGTCAAACTTAAAAAACGTGAGAATAATGATGATTATGAAAGCGAACAGAAGAATTAAAAAGATACTATGTCGACTTAATAATAATAAGGTTATTGAATTGAAACGCAAAGTTGATAAGGTTTGTAGTAAGATAGAAGAGGTTAATAATAAGATCGATAAATTACTTAATCTTAAACATTAGTTTTCTTTATTTTGACGTTTGATAATTAAAACTTGACACTCCATCAAAATTAAAGGCTTGACACTCAATCAAGTGTTGTTATAGATTTTTTTATTCTACTTCATATTTTACATATGCAGAAAATTTTCATTAAATATCAATTTATAATAATAAATCTTTAAGTAGTGAAAATGTTGACACAGATGAAATTGCAACGTTATTTTAAAATTTTATAAATTTTATAAAGAAATAAAAAATTCAATAGATAGAATAACTTTAAAATACCTTTTTTCAGGAATAACGGAATAGCTTGTGATTTTGATCTAACCATAAATTCGAAATTGCAATGTTTAGTGAGACAAGGTTTTATCTCGAAAAAAACTTTTTTGTGATTTTTTTTTATCTGTTAAAGAAAATGAATAACCTCAATTGATTTTTTTTTTTAAAAAAAAAAATTGAACGTTTCTCGCCAATTTATCAAAGAAATTCAATATTAAATTTTAATCTAACAGAAGATAGTCATTGTTGGCCTAAATTAGATTTTATGTATTTGAAAAAAATGATAAATTTAAATCATTATTTAAAATTCAATCGCGAACATGTATAAAGTTTGTACTAAATAAAAATTATTTGAAATTAAATAATAAAAAAAAATTTTTTTCGAGCAACCTACAAAAATTGTTCAGAGTATAACTGCGCCATAATCTGCGCAACGCAAAAAATTATATTATCAATGACTTTTTTATTTTTATTACATCATATTATCTAATTTTGTCTTGTTATATGTCGTCATTTGAACAAAGTATATCCCTTTTTAGTATAAATATTCCCACAGAAAGAAAATCTTGTCCAAAATTTTTCACCTCTAACCATTTCAAGAAAAAAAATGGTAAATTAAAAACATTTTTGTTTTGAACTTTTGATGAAAAGAAATTCTAACTATATTAATTTTTAGGCACAACAACCAAATTATACTAACTTGTCCCAAGCCTTACAAACAGTTTCCCACGAAGTTTCTTTCGTCCCAAATATTCCAAACTTGAACGTTGCAGACCAGTTAACAATAATTCAACGATCACTCTCAAATTTGACTGATACGGTCACAAACTTGTCTAATACAGTCACAAACTTGTCTAATACAGTCACAAACTTGTCTAATAGAATCGATGGTTTGACCATCACTATTCAAGCAACGTATGCTTTTTTTTTGTTTATCCCATAAAATAAAGAAAAAGTCGGTGATAATTGATATTTTTTTATTTTTTAGGGACACGCGAAATCTAGCAAGAATTTATAACTCGCGCTTACCCAGTCCAGACTTTCAATTGGAAATAGTTCCGGACATGGCTGGTAATGTCCCACAAAACTATCCCCAATCGATCACTGCATTTCGGGAGATGACAGGTCTGTATATTAGCACAATCTCAACTTTCAAAACAATTAAAATCATTTTTACTTAATCAATAAAATCATATTATAAAGGTCATGGTGTAAACACTCTCATGACATTCTACGGGTTGCCAACTACTGGTAATGTTGAGGTTCGACGTAAACGATTTGCAAAATACATAGGTGTCCAATTAATTTAATCGTTATAGCGATTATTACATTTAATATATATTTTCTTTTTTACTATTGCTTATGGTACATGTAGAGCATTATGTATTAATAAATCAAAAAAACATGCGGTATTAGATTAGATACAAAAAAAAATATAATAAATATTTGTTAAAGCTTATAATGAAAGTAATGTTTATTAGTTATATCCTATTGTTTGTGTAACGCTAACGTTTCCCAAATAATAAATGATCAAACAAAAAAAGCGTTTAATGATTTTCAAAAACTATTGTCAACAGTTAATTATATCCATCAATAATTACTAACAGAATTTATTTCATCAAGGTTATTAATTTATTAAATACCTCCATCATCAAGAAATTTTTCTACGTTACAATAATCAATATATACTAGAACAGACAAAGCTTTCTTTTGAACAAGCCATCGCAATCTCGGTCATCATAGGATGTAAAGAATTCACCTGGAATAAATAATCTCACGGCTAATGGAATACCTAATATATTATAAACTTGCTCATATAAAAATTAATACGTTTAAATTGTTCTTGATAAATCAATAGTCGCTACAACTGTTATCAACAGGATAACTGCCGCATATATTACAATAAAATGCGTTACCTAATTCTGCCGCCGCTAACTCTGGTGAATGATCTATACCATCTCCAACCATCGCAACTATATTCAGTTACCTTCAAATTGAAGTGATTGAATTATTTGTGCTTTTCCATTTGGTGATGCCCAAGCTGTGAGTAATTCATCGCGACAGCTATTCAGGCCCAACTGCTACTTTAGCTTAATGTTTAACTGCGTCAGATAAGAATATACAAATGATTTATTTACAGCCACCAATACGGCGGTTCTTCCAAATCGAACTTGCGAATTCCTTGATAATCATCGTTACATCTGGAAATAAATATTTGATGTTGAAGAGAAAGGAACCTTGCGTTTCCAATCAATACAGAATGACTATGATGTGGTGTCATTGTAGCTGTTAAAGCAGTATATGAAGTTCTTAGAACTACATTACACTCATTACCTAATCCAGCGATATTTTAACATACATTTCAATATCTTTCCATAGTTCACAAAGTAATCTTCCAAGAGGATATTCCCTTGAAGATTCGGCTGCTCCAACAATCACGATTAAGATTCTTTAGTCGATTCCA